TTGAGTGATCATAGAAATGGTTTTTACCAGCTTCTAGCCAAGATTCTGACGTTTCTGTAGACACCAAACATGTCTGTTTAACTAAAAGAACTTTGAATAATTAAAGTAAAAAAAACGGGGGTTTGTACTGAAGAGATGAATGAACCAATTGGCGGGCCGAATTTTTGTCACTCGCGGGCCGGATGTGGCCCACGGGCTGCCAATTGAATAGCCCTGCATTAAGGTAAATTATGAGTCTTTTTCTTTTTGTTTTACATGATCCATTTCATTATATAAATGTGTGTACATACTTGTGTTTGCATGATTTTTTTCATTTAGCAAAATATTTCATGAACCTCAGGATAGGTTTTAATGAAACTCTGCACTCGATTCAACATGGCTGCCATAGCTGACTGTCACAAAAATGACTGTAACTTAGTCAGTAATACTGATATTGAGGTATAATTGTGTGTTGAGTCACACTCAATACATTTTTCAAACACGTAAAGGTCACACATTTTTTTTTACATACAGCTGAACTCCATTAAGGAATACTTTTTGTTTTCTGTGTTTTTATGCAAAACAAGTTGTCTCAGTTAAAGTGAGTCTTTTTACCTCCGTTATTGTTAAAGTCATAATTAAATTAAGACATTTGCTAACAATCAAGATCAAGCCTTAATTTGATAAAAAAGTTTCCAGTGTTTTTCTACTTCGCTTCTGTTTTTTAACCAACAGAGATAATATGTCCTCATAAAGACGGCTGTTTCTGTTTGCTTTAAGGTGTGTTGACATGGTGAAGAGTTCTCAGTATGTTGAGCTCGCCAATGATCTGGAGATCAACAAAGCCATCACATACCTCAGACAGAAAAACTTCAACCAGGTGAGTGTGTCTGTGCTGGTTTGTGTACTCAAAGACCACATTAGTAGCAGAAACGGACCAGTCATCATGGAGCAGACTCTCCATCCTGAACCAGTTCTTGTTTCTAGATTAGAGTAACTGAGGCATTTATTAACTCATAAGCTGTTACTTCCACCTTTTAGTGTTTTTATTTCCATCGTTTTTAACATTCTGTATGAGTAACAGTTGTTGTTGTTTATATTTGTTGATTTTTTCCTGATAAAGCAGTAACAGCAGCGTCAGACTCAAAATTCACTCTCATCGTACCTTTTTTTGCTTTTGTCCCATTTATTTCCCATCTGCATGCCTAAGGTTGAGGTATGTTTGTCTTCTGTTTCCTTGATCACGTTTAAGTTGTGTAGTCCTCTTGTCTTAAACAAGTTATGATGAAAGTTTGCTTTTTTATTTGTTAAAAATTGTGCTACCAAGAGAAGCTGGAGAGACTGGACTAAAACCCAYAGAGGTGTAAGAAATATTTTCAGAAAGGAAATTATTTAACAATAATAAACACTGCATTCTGAGCTAATTTGTGGCGCTGCTCTGTGGCTATAATATCAGAATTAACTTGACTGAGGAACACAGGTGTAAACTTATATTACTTTAGTTAAGTGTGTATTTAAAGTACCATGCATCTGTTCATATTTAGATAGTGATGACAGAAAAAGAAGTGACTGATATCCTAATCGGASTATTGGGTAGCTAGCTATTTGAAAGACAGAAGACAGTTTGTACAAATAAATAATGTAACATCTGAATTTGGTAATATCACATGCGGTGTGCCTCAGGGTTCTGTACTTGGGTCACAAAGCTATTTATTTTGTATGTAAATGATTTGGTAAATGTGTCAGGTTTGTTCAAATCTCAAATGTTTCTAATATCTTGCAGCTCTACTGTAAAAACAGACTTTACATTTGATGCATGTGTGTGGTGCTTTTACACTGGTGGAGGTGTCATCTTTGCAKCAGCAGCTGGTGGTTTGTCTAACTTTAACACTGATAGTGGTGTTAAAWTCTTCCAGTATATAACACACTTACATATGGCTATGTTTTCTTTTTAAAAAAAATCATCTCACAAGAAAAAAATTTTCTATGTTTTTCAAGATTCAGCAGGGTACAGACACTAATTTTTTCTTTTTAACAAAAGTAGCCCTATTTTAATACTTGATAAATGGTAAATATATATTGTATGATTGTAAATATTTCTCCTT